ATTTGTGAAACAGTGATTGTTGATAAACACTCACTGATTCAAAAGTCTCAGACCCTGGACAGAGAACAGAGATCGTCAGAGTTAAGAGACCTGACCACAAATGTCTGGTCATCTCTGATCCTCACGTTGAAGTCAGGAACCACAAGCAAGACAACCTTGTCTGAGGTTTTAGAGGGTGTGGCCTGCCTCTAGAGGGAGCAGCAGTTTAGCAACGTAAGCTAGGAGTTGTTATTAAATCAATAAAAGTATCCAAAATGGCCGCCTTCTTGGAGAAGACTCCTAATGTAAACACAGAAATCTTATAGTGGGACGATTAAAGATACTTCAATACTGGAACTTCAAGTTAAATGTACACCAGTGAAATAAATGAATTGTGAATGTGCTGTTTAATTTGCATTTCATTTACTAGAGTAAACCAACATTATCACTGACTCATTCAGAATCAGCTGTTTTATCACAGTTCCTCTGATGTCATTTTCTTTCAATACGTTCCAATATCAAACCCTCTGACGCTGAGCTACTACAGGCTAAAATGTGACAGCAATTTTTTTTTTTACAGTGGGGAATAGATACTGATTTGATTATCATTATGCAGCAAAAAGATCCTTTCAACACAAGCCAGGCTTCACTCAGAGGCTACGAGTAGTGGATGAGATAGGAAACTAAACGGAGCACGATGATTGGACGGAATGTTTAAGAAAACTTCTTTTTATTTGAACTGCTTCGTTTGTTGAGAGTTCAGTGCGAGGACACTGTGGTCTTGCCAATTTAGGCCATTTCTGTTCTTCATTTTAGCACAATGATCATGATTTCCTGGTGGAGCTGTTTGTTCATTTTTAACTGATTTAATGACCTGGGTTAAAATTAGCTTAGCATTTTAAATACGAGCAAACACTGCTGCTGTACACACAGCAAAAAGCATTAGTATTAGTGTAAAAGTGCTTTCATAACAAAGTCGTCTGTTCACCACAGGTGTGAACCATAACCTCCCTCGTTCTTGTGATATGTTTCCTCTGTCAGTAAAATGATTGACATTTTGTGTTGATGTTTTGTTTTCTGTCTACAGTGCGGGCTACGATGCTGTTCTGGACAGAAATGTAGCCATCAAGAAACTGAGCAGACCCTTCCAGAACCAGACCCACGCCAAGCGGGCATATCGAGAGTTAGTGCTAATGAAATGTGTCAATCACAAAAATGTGAGTCTTTCAGTTTGATGGAGACAAAGGTTTGGGAGAAACACATGATGAAGGGCAGTGCAGTGATTGTCAGAACCGTTATCTGTAACCTCAGCCACTGTCTATTTTTGTTTCGCGACGGATCCTCGTGCTTAGAATGGAAACGAGCGGCTGTTTTGTTCCGTCACAGCTAATTTCAATGCCTGCGGTAACTTAGTGGAACGGCAGCAGAGAAAAGCAGACGACACTTGAAGGAATACAAAATTTCTTCTGCAGTTTTGGCTCCGTTTCCTTCTCCGTCTCCGTCTCTACGCTTATCCTGCTCCTTTGTTCCATATCGGTTCTCCATTTCTCCAATCAGCAGTGTCCTTCATTAGTGTCATTATTGATTCACATTCACAGTCCATTTTTAACCACGGTGTGATGCTGATGATTATCTCTGTGTTTCCCCCCTTTTTTTTTCCAGATTATCAGTTTATTAAACGTCTTCACACCACAGAAATCATTAGAGGAGTTTCAAGATGTGTAAGTAAACTAAAATACAGTTTCTCTTTGTAGAAATGGAATAATTAAGATCATGTGACCAATTTTCTTCTTCTCTGATTTTAGTCTTATCTAATGAAGGAATGACATGTCCAGATTCTGTTATAAATATATCTATGCTGAGGTAATTATTGTGTTGCATATGGAGTTGTGTCAAGACAGCTGCCTGGGTGGAGTCAGACAGAGTACTGTAGTACTGTAGGTGTAATCTGAGGCAGCAGGGAGAGTGGGTAAACAGCCCTGCAGAGGGATTCATACAGCTAATAGACACAGTGTATTTATCAACAAATATGGGTAAGGCGCCGGGGGGGGGGGGGGGGATGACAGCTGAATCATCAAAACTCCAAAGACTTTACAGACAGATTAACTGCCAACATGCCTTCTTCCAGGTACCTAGCTATGGAGCTGATGGATGCCAATCTGTGTCAGGTGATTCAGATGGAGCTCGACCACGAGAGAATGTCCTACCTGCTCTATCAGATGCTGTGTGGTATCAAACACCTGCACTCAGCTGGCATCATTCACAGGGTAATGGACGCTTCTGGTTTGATTTAAGTCCTATGAATAAACAAAACAAAAACTTAAAATTAAATCACTACACGGAGCAAATAAAGAAGACAAAAAAATTAAAATGTCTATATTTTCAAAAATGTTCGAAAATGTATCTCACAGTAGCATTAGGAAAATGGTTATTTCCAAGTGGAGTGGTCCAAGGAAAGGAACCAAACAAAAACATTTAATTTAATTTAACCCCAAAAAATAAAAATAAATGTGGCACCAACTTTAATCATGTCTTTTAGACACTTTTCAATTCACTTTCACGTCTTCATTAAAAAAAAAGTAAAAATTCACTTCACTTCACAAATTCAATTCACTTTCACGTCTTCATTAAAAACCATTATAAAACTCTTGCTTCTAGCAGATATTATAAATTATATGCACACAGTCTGCGAAAGTAGAGAAAATAAATGAGAAAAAAGTTAACCTAAAACTAATCTGGATTTTTTTTTTTAAACATTTATGCAGGATCTAAAACCAAGCAATATTGTGGTGAAATCAGACTGTACCCTGAAGATCCTGGACTTTGGATTGGCAAGAACTGCAGGCACAAGCTTCATGATGACCCCGTACGTGGTGACGAGATACTACAGAGCGCCAGAAGTCATCCTGGGGATGGGATACAAAGAGAATGGTAAGAACAAGAGAAGACAACTGATGTGTTTTTGCAGTGAATGTCAACTAAACAGTTTAATTCTTTTAAATTTCTGTCCATATCATCCGATACCTTCTAATATTTTTACTACTAACAGACGTTCTCCAAATAGCCTTGCTTCTAGTCCTAAAACTACATATTTTCTGATGCTAATCTTTTGCTTTCTTCTCTGTTTTATTTTGCTTCCTGTCCTTCTTTCCTTCACCTCTACGCGTGCAGTGGATATATGGTCGGTGGGGTGCATTATGGGAGAAATGGTGCGCCACAAAATCCTCTTCCCTGGCCGGGACTGTATCCTTGTTAAAGCAGACTTATCGTTAACTTTCAGAAGTTTTTAAATTTTCCAAATCAAACACAGAATTAAGATACATTTCACACATGGTTTAAATCCATTCTGTGTTGAGCCTGATGTTCTCTGTATGTTACTGAGGTGAACTAAACCGTGGCTGCTTTTCTTAACACATCTGCCTTTATCTCCTTCAACAGACCTTTATATTTTAACCAGCCAATAACATATTTTTGGCACACACCATTTTTTTGCCTTTGCCTTTCCTTGTTTACCTCTTTATCTGCTGGATAAATTACACTCTAATCAGCTGCTTACATGCAGTGCGACTCAATGCACTGAGGCGTAGTTGAGATGATGTGCTTAAGTTCAGCGACTTTGAAGCATGGTTGTTTATTGCTCTAAAGTTGGTCTCGGTGTAAGTGTTAAAAAATATGCTGATGTTACTGTGCTGCAGAACCATCTCTGCCTGTTATGGAAAACGGTTCTCGTGGACAACAGTTGTTTGGCCAAAACACTAGCGGTGACAGACGTCTGAGGATTATGGAATACATACATTTTAATAGGAATAACTTTGGGCTATTTTGGATTTGGTTTCCAAAAAATTCTGAAACCAATGACAGAATGGATCCATATTGGCTACTCCATCCATCCATCCATCCATTTTCATCCGCTTATCCGTTACCGGGTCGCGGGGGTAGCAGTCGCCACCCAAATCACATTGCACCGTCCATATTGGCTACTGTGCTTCATTATTTATAATTATTATTCTTATTCTTCTTCTTCTTCTTCTTCTTCTTCTTCTTCTTCTTATTATTATTATTATTATGAGTTCTGGGTTTGATTCCCAGAGGAACCACATGCTTGGCGCTTGCTTGGGGCAGCCTGATAACATAATTTCCCAAATATGGAATCAATAGAGTACAATTTTTTTTTCTTATCTAAAAAACTTTCTTGAATATATATATATAAATATATAAATTGCATCACTGTGATGTGTTTCTGCGTCCAATTAAATGCCAGAACCAGCACAGCCCTGCTGAAGTGGTTAGTGAGTGTTGGTCTGAATCATAAGCCCTTCTTTATTTTCACGAGCACCGCCAATTAAGAGGAAGCCTTCATCGGCGACCCTCTCAGTGTGCCGCTGAATATTTAAAGGTGTCATTATGGGGGTGAGTCCTCCTGCAGTGAGGGAGCTGCTGCTCCTGATTCCCAAACACAACATCTTCCAGCAGGATAACCACGTGCTGAGTCAGCATACGTGTGCACCAGCGAAGCACATCCTGCCATTTAGGAGCGTCCACATGTGTGAGTCAGGCTCCGTTATTAAACTCCCAATGAATAAATAATATCAAATTAATGCATTCGCTTTGAGCAAATGTTAATAACAGCTTGGCTGACCCCGCTCACCCCCCCCAGTGGTTGGACGTTAACATTCATTTATTCAGTCGTTCATCTCCTACTGCTTTTCTGAGCTAGAGGGAGCTGGAGCCCACTGCAGCAGTCATCAGGTTAGGGTGGGGTACATCCATCTCAGCACCATACACTCATAGCTAGGTCAAAATAGGTCCATTTAAATGTCCCCATTACCACAACCTCCGACCAGGAGAGTGTGAGGAAACTCAGAACAAGCAAACTGTTTACAGAGAGACCATCAGTCACAACCAGGAATTCAACTAGCACACTAACCCCCTCTGCCAACACGTAGTCCTGGATATTGAGGGGCAGTTGTGGCTTGGTGGTTAAGGAAGTGGACTTGGGTTTCAGGTTCGAGTCCACCAGCTGCCCAGTTACCACTGAGGTTCTCTGAGCACCGTCCCCACACACTGCAGTAGTTCACTTTCCTTCCTTTCCTTCCCTACTATAATAATAAAGGAGTAACTAACTGTAACCCTTGACTAAGGTAAATATTACTGTAGGGGCACTTACTGTGTTTACTGAGTTATACTGTAAAAACAACAATGTTCCAGCACGTCACATTTTAAGACAAGATTTATGAAGTTAAAGGTTGAACATGCAGCGCTGTAGGTGACAGGATGTAAAACAAACCTGCATTAAAACCCCGGGATAATGGAAGTCATAAATCACTTATTTCTGTTTGTTGTGAAACATAATATTAACATTATTTTCCATATGTATGTATGGTTTTGGAACATTACTGTCTGAGTGATACAGCTCTATAGAACAGCGTGGCTCTGAGCTATAATTAGCCGGCAGCTACGTATGGTCACAGCAGCCCGCCATCACTTATTAACCACTGGCTCAGGAATGACTGTTAAACATGTTCTGATGAAAATGTGTTGACTGAGTTAAACAATGTACTAGCATTTATAGCACCCCCTACAGGGTAGGAATTAGCGCTACATAACAACATGTAGGTACATTTTATTTTCTAGGAAATTTTAGCCAGAGTTTTCATAGGAGCTGTTGACCTGCCCTTAACATTAGGATATTGATGTCTTGGAAAGCTACCGTAGCAGCAAGAGACAAATGACTCAGCTGGATGAGAGTGCTTGTGGCCGACTCACTGACCCCTACATCACTGAGCTTGCAATTCACCCAAGATTAATGTCCTGGAGAGAAGCAGAAACCCCCATAACAAGCTCCTGGTCTCTATCTCTCTTTCTCCATCTCTGCTCTCAACATGAAACCAAATTGTTATCACCCAACTCTCCATCGTTTCTCTCTGCGTAGATCAATACCATTTTTTATTTTTCCCACACACTGTACGCACCTTTGTTATTGGTTTTATGGATGATTTGGGACCTTCACGGTGCGTGTACCTAATCTTAATTTACTTTGTGACTTGAGGCATTGATGCAGTTGAAGTCACAGCCCGTGCTCTTGTCTGTGATGACGATAAAAGTGCAGTGGGTTGAAGTCACAGCCCGTGCTCTTCCCAAGTGTCTGTGATGACGATAAAAGTGCAGTGTGTTCTACACAGGTCAGAGCACAGACAGGCTGCAGTGAGTCCAGATGTTTGATGTCCATTTAGTTCCAGCACTGTGGTAAATAAGCGGCTGAAGGATAGAATGAGGGGTGTGTGTCGTTTGCTGCACAAGTATAGACAAGTGAAACGCACAGATGTGCGATGGAAGGAATTAAATATTGAGTTTAGTTCAGGCTGAGTCATAGAAAATTCTTTTGGGGCTTGGAATCAATAAAAGTATATGTGTGTGTGTGTGTGTGTACTTACAATAGTCTGCAATTCTTCATAGAGGGTGGAATTGATTTTGATATTGGTAATTCAAGTGTGTGTGTGTGTCTTTGTGTGTGTGTGTGTGTCCAGTGGACATCTGGTCAGTGGGCTGCATCTTTGGAGAGGTGATAAGAGGGACAGTGCTGTTCCCTGGAACTGACCGTATCCTTCTGCTCCACTGCTCCTCCCTTTTTACTGTAACTCAACCTGAAGCCTGTAGAAAAAAAAAATCACAGGATTTACTTGTGCTCAGCATCATGATGCACCAACTATGTCTGGCCATGAATAACACAGTGTGATAGGCACGCCGTTTGGCAGCGGCACACTGAGAAAAAACACCTCAAGCATAGGAGCCACAGATAAGAGCCTTAGCGGTTTAAAAAAAAAACTGCCTCAGTGAATGGATTGCAGCCAATGTGCAATGGAGACGAAAGGGGAGGTGGGAGCGTCTGGCGTTCCGTGCCTGATGAGGGCTGTGGTGTGGCTCTGGTTGCTGTAACTCCCAACTGGAAGTTTGTGAGAGAACACGGTTTAGTGTAGGGTGGAGTACGAGTGTGTGCCGAGGGGTGAGGAAAGAAGTATTTGTTGTGGAGAGGGACATTAAATATTCATGAATTCATTTTTTTTTTCCAGGAGGTTCAATAAGAGGTTCTAAAATGACCTAATTCCTGCTTTTGGAAAACGCTCAGCTGGAATACTAATGCAGTACAGGCAGTACGAGTCAGTGTAGCCTTAAATTATAGCGGTTTTTAAATAATGAAAAATAATAATGAAATGAAAACATTATTTTTTTCAGATTTTTTTTCTACTGAAAAAAAAGAGCTGATGTCTGGTTAAAGAAGTCAAACACATGACCTAATTATAAATGATAAATACTGTGATAAATCTTAATTAAACATTACAGGAAAAAAAAATCAGTTCATTTCACAGTTAAAAAGCCACGGAATAATTGACGTGGCTGACATTTGTCTGGTGCAGGTTTTATGGACCAGGATTAGGTTTAAAAACAGCATCCAGAATCCACAGGTGTAGTCTTTACAGACAAGGATGTGTGTGGTTCATTTTGTAAATGAATAAACCGTTCAATTTGGAATCATTTTCTCAGCACAAAAAAAGAAATTTTTAGTGCTGGGAAATGGACTTTAATTATATATGAAGAAGAAAAACACACGCCCAGCCCTGATCTAGAAAGTGTTAATTAATCATCCTGAAGATTTCAGGTTGTGTTGCTTTAAAAACACCCACGTTGCCTTGAGTGACATCGACCTTTTAGGGTTTGTGCTATTTTCAAAGATAAAGCAGTGAAAGCAGTTTTTTTCTCAGCTCGTCTAAAACAAGACAATTCAGATTATTATCAAGGAGGTTCAAGGCAACATCCCAGTTGTCATGGATGTCGGTTGCCATGGCAGTGGAATCTTTTTCAGGTGTATTAATATTACTCTATGGATTCATAACCAGGACAATTTCACAGCCCTTTCTGCACATAGTACACATAGACATGAACTATGACGAGCCATAGACAAGTCATAGAGTTAGTTACAAGGCTTACGATTAGGGCTGTGACGATGTGTTGCGAATCGACTGAAAATCTATTCATGCATGACCATTCGTATCGGTTGAAATAAAATTAAAAATCGTGCATCCAGGCATAATGAGTAGGTTGCGTTATTTCAAAAATGTCAGCGGTCATACCATGAGACTACACACTTAGGACAGTAGATGGCGGTATACGCCCTAAAAACGTTGGTTGTGACCCTGTAGGTGATGGGGTGGTGGTGTTAATGAAGGGGTGGTGAAATGTGGTGCCTGAGAGATGCAGGACTGTAGAATACTCCATACTGTATGGACCAGTGTTGGCCTTAATCCTACGCCACTACCTCAGACATCGACCAGTGGAACAAGGTGATCGAGCAGCTGGGAACGCCCTCACCGGAGTTCATGAAGAAGCTCCAGCCCACAGTGAGGAACTATGTGGAGAACCGGCCAAAGTACGCTGGCCTCACCTTTCCCAAGCTTTTCCCCGACTGCCTTTTCCCTGCTGACTCTGAGCACAACAAACTCAAAGGTGAGAAGGTGCACGACATGTATAGTAACACCCGTTCTCGACAACTCTTAAATTCTACATTTATGGTGAAAAACTCATCACTATTTACCTACAGTCCTACAAAACCAACTAGAAGTCGCAGCATCCGTTGTGTTGCCACTCGTATTTTTTAATGACAAAACCAAAGCTGCTAACTATGAATCTACGATCTGGTGTTAAAGGAAATAAAAGGATAAGGATAAGGATAAGCACGATCAGAAACTAACATCCAATAGGATTTAAACATGAAGAGACAGAGAGAGGACAGGTGGAGATGAAAGGAGTCGCTTTTACACATTTACTCCCTTTTTCTTGCTCCAGTGTTTCTTCTAAAAGGGAAAAACCGGGGGGTTGACCACAGTCGTCTGTCTGTCTGTCTCATTTTTTTACACTTCACTCTCATTACTTTGTCAGTGCTTTGAGGCTATTTATAGAGAAGGACGGTGTGTTTTTTGTGTGTGCCAAAAACACCCTTTGTATCAAATGATATACAAGAAAGATCTCCTGAACAGAAATTCCTTTTTGACTGAATCTTCGTTTTTATGTATCAGGCTTGAAAAGGGTTGAAACTAGAATTTGAATTTGAATTTGTTTTTGTTTTTTTAAATTTCCTTAAAATCTAAAACAATATATACATCATGATGGGGACAAAGTACTGCACCCACTGGTTGCTGAGCAGATGTACTCAGTGAATGTATGTGAATTGTACGAACATATACTTGCAAAACTACAATCAATAATACTTTCCCTTTCACAAAGATTAATTGGGAATTTGATTTTGTGTCTGAAGATTTTATATACACAAATTATACAAAAATCCTATTAATTACAGTACTTTGCCTAAATTATTGACCCGGCCCTTAAACAAGAATTCCTGTTGTCATTTTGTTTTCTTTACAACTACAGCAAGCCAGGCCCGAGACCTGCTGTCAAAAATGTTGATCATCGACCCTGCTAAACGGATATCTGTGGACGAGGCATTACAGCATCCTTACATAAACGTTTGGTATGATCCAGCTGAGGTGGAGGCGGTGAGTAGCTCTTTGCCAGAACTGCGTATTGATTCAAATATCAGGCTCAGTTCGTTTCTCCTGCTGTGTTGAAGTTAGCCTGATGTTAACCTGAAGATAAACCTGAACTTTAGTCTCGTTGGAACTTTTTGACTTGCTCTTGCATGTTTACATAATCAAACTAAGGTCTCATGGATAAAGCTGCAGGCCATGAACACATTTTCACATGATGAAATAAAGCGTCATTTGAGCTCACTTAACTCTAAGACACCTGTAATAGAAACCTCCCCTGTTTGTCCTACTGCAGCTGCTGAGTGCTGACCTGTGGATGTCCACAGTAGGTCAAAACTCTCTTTCTTGGAGGATTATGTTGTTGGCGTCTGGGGCAGATAACAGTGAATTTGTGATTAGAAGGGTCGGCCAGACATCAGATAAATATTTCTCCATCTGTTGGATGAAATAAATCTGCCCGAAAGTACATCACAAGAGTTGTAGTGATTTTTTTTTAGAAAAGTTACTCCACAGGAGGCAACTTCTCAATCACAAAATTGCCTGTTAACAATTTTTCTGAATTGTTGATTTTTGTTAACATCCACTTTACAGAGGTTACATTTAAAGATGTATTAGTAATACTGAAAATATATAATATAATATAATACAATATAATATAATATAATATAATATGGGGGTATTTTCCTGTGCGGGTGGTCTCTCCCTCTGCCTAATTATTTTCCTGTTACTGTTTTGTTTCTATCGTTTAATGATCTCTCTCTCTCTCTCTCTCCCTCTCTCTCTCTCTTACTCAGCCTTAACCTCAGATCTATGATAAGCAGCTGGATGAAAGAGAACACTCCATTGATGAATGGAAAGGTGATCTAACGCACATTTCTACCAATCACCTCCATCACATTCATGTTGTTATCTAGTACTAGATGTGTTGTTATCTAGTACTAGATATGTTGTTATCTAGTACTGGATGTGTTGTTATCTAGTACTGGATGTGTTGTTATCTAGTTTATCTAGTAGTGTTGTTATCTAGTACTGGATGTGTTGTTATCTAGTACTGGATGTGTTGTTATCTAGTACTGGATGTGTTGTTATCTAGTACTGGATGTGTTGTTATCTAGTAGTATTGTCCACAGTAACTCAGTTTGTTTTTGTCTCTGTCTTGAACGCCTCTCCCCTGTAGAACTAATCTACAAAGAAGTGATGAACTTTGAGGAGAGAACGAAGAATGGCGTTGTGAAGGGACAACCTTCACCTTCAGGTACTCTCAGTGCATAACCCTAATCGCTCTGTAAGTGAATTTTCTACAACCTTACTGGAGTAGAAACAGAGAAACCCATTGTGCTGTTCACCATGTGTCTGCATCTCATGCATCCAAATTCAAATGTTGCACAGTTTAGTGATTCTAATATAAAATGATGAATGATATATTACTATTTAACAGTAGCTGCAGTGTGTTCTTATGTATATTTATATATACAGTAAATGTATACGTTGATGTATTCGTATGTTTCTGGAGTTAGGGTTTGGCACCAGTGGGATCCGTCATAGAAAAGCTGCGGCTGACATTTTCTCTAGCTGACATATTCTCATCGCCTGCCACAGAGGGGCAGTGTGGAGTCGCGTCAGTGGCGACACCTTGACCGGACCACCCACATTAACATTGTGGTCACAGACAGTGTGAAGAATAAGCTACCGCTGAGTCAAAGCAGCAGCTGCTCCCCATTACAAAAAACAAACAGCAATTCAAATAATGGAAATTCCTCCAAAGACAGCAGCACCTGCTGATCAGGAGAGAGAACTGCACCAACACTGAATAAGTAAACACAAACTGCAAAACATAAAATCCAGATTATAAATAAAATTTATAAAATAAAATATTAAAATATTATAAAATAAATAATATTTATTTATTATGATTTAAAATTATATTTTAAATAATATTTTATTTATTTGTAATTATTTTTATTTTATTTATAATAATATTTATAAATAAATAAAATCATAAAATCCAACACAAACATCCAGGTCTCAGCCCCATGTATTTAAAATTACAAATGTGTTTTCAAGGTTTTGAAGTTTCTATTTAAAGGACAGACAGTAGCTGTATGGAATTTCAGCTGTAGAAGAAAAATATACAGAAACTGTAATAAAAGTCGCTCCCAAAATACTGGTCTGGAAACTGGAATCAAATAACTTTGATTTAAATGAACTCTTTGCCATTTTTGCAGCATTAAAATGGAAAAACTTTAAGATTGAACGCTTTCATGATTTAAACATGTTCTGTAGCTTTTTTTTTTGTACCAATAATTTATTTTGATGCAATGTTCGTACCAATAATTTATTTTGATGCACTATTGAAAATATTTTTTTTTCTTTAAAAGTGCACAAATCTTGACATGTTTGAACTTTTGCTCATCTTCTGAAAGCTTTTTGAAGGTAGTAGGTTTTTTTTATATGTAATTCGGAGCAAAAAACAAACAACATCTTTAAATAAGAGAGGCTTCTAATAAAATGTTGAGTAAAAAGCTGTTGTTCATGGCGTTAGTCAGACATACATTTGTCCATCAGCTTCTTCTCCGATGGTCTGCATGGTGACTGACACTGAGTGCAGCACTGCAGAAGTCACAGATGACTGTGTTGCACTGCAGCAGGAAACCCGAGCTGATGAGTTGAGACATGCCAGTGTGTGTGCCCACACACAGTCAGTGTCTCAGTCACTGTGGTCTGGTTACACATACCAGGAGTCATAAACCGGCCTCATTAGTTTGGTCAGAGATGAATGGTAATTAATTCATAATATAAAGCCCACAGTAAATTGATCCTCTGCTGTGATATACTTTTACAGTTCCAGTGTTGGCCCTGCAGAGGTCGCTGCTGGTGTTTAATCACTAGACTAGCCTTTTTTTTTTTAATTTAGGATTATCTGAAATACCTGACCTCAGTGTTTTTGTTTACATGGGGGTTCAGGGAGTTGAGGGTTTAAGATACGATGATTTTGATTGATGGTGACCAGGATTGAAAGGAGCAGAAATGTGTGATCTACCAGCACTCCCTTTGGGATCTACTGGTAAATCACAATCTACTTATTGAACACCCCCGTAGTAGGATGTTGGATATGAACAGGTGAGGGCACCACACCCGGGTTCAAGGGTGTCAGATGGGTGGTTGAGATGCCAGTCATGGGGTCGCAACAGGCAGAAGAAAAATCTATTGTTTTGTAGTCTGTACATTACCGTTGTCATCTAGTACATCTAGTAAGTTTTACCAGATTTTTAGTGTGTGTGTTTTCTGAAAACTCTGATCATCTTTCCTGTGGATCAGTGTAAACAAAGACAATTGTTTGCTGGAAATATTCTGGTATTTGGCCTTAGAGCTGAGTACCCAAAAAGAAAGTCGTTTTAGCAAAAACAAGAGAGGGCACCACACCCTGGTTCAAGGGTGTCAGATGGGTGGTTG